ATAGACCCACAAAATTGCAAAAGGACCTCAGAGAAATTATATAGTACATCTATGATATATTGACAAGCTAAGGGTATTGATTACAAGTAGAGGTGTCCATTATTCAGATAAAAACAAAAATCTAATCTAATCCAAATCGAATTATCAATTCGGATCGGATCCAAACTTTAAATCGGATCAGATCGGATTGAATTTCTTAGCGGTTTATCGGAATTTGCAAAATCAGTATTTGAGTCTGTAGACGATGGTTATGAGTACTTCTAGGGTATGAGACAATTGTATTTGTATCACAATGATGTTTAAATTCACCTTATTCACGATGTAGTCCCGTTTGTCTTGTATATTTATTTAGGTTGTAGGCAATTGTGATTTAACGATGTAGTCCCGTTTGTCTTCTTTACTTATTCACGATGTAGTCCCGTTTGTCATGCTAATTTTAAGCCTGTTTTGAATTCAAATGTTGTTCCTTTTGATTTTCTAATTTTTTCTTGTTTGTGGATAATTAAATGATTAATTATATAAATTTTTTTTAATTGAGGTACAGAGGGCTTATATTATCATTGTAAGTCATATTCCGCCAAATTTATAATACTTTGCCAAAATGATCCAATACAAACAAAATTTAAGTGTAATTATTTGTACGAATAATGTGAATAATTTGAATATAGGATTGGTTTCGAAAATATTGTACCATTACATTGGGAAAAAGGATGGGTCTATTCAACAAAAAATATATAGGTGTAAGTTGGGTCAGCAAAGGATGTATTTCAGCCAGAAACCTAGGCTATAGTAGGTCATGAATAGTCACATCAACAATGGATAATAACAACTACAATTTATATTTTATGACAAGCTTAAATTGAATGACGTTACATTGTGATTAATTTTAGATTTGCAAAATCTTGAAAGTGTGACGAAGTACAACAACAATTTTTTATTGTTGAAAAGCTTCAAAGTGAAAGACATCTTTGTATTTTGCATCAACCAAGGTTAAAAGTTTTGTAATTTTTGTAAATTTTGTTGAAACTACTTGAAATTAAAAATTATAATTTTGGAAATACATCATGAGGAAAATTTAATTTAAATAATATATATGTAATTGAGCTACGGGGCCATGGTTTACTTATTTTTGAGTATATGGTATAAAGGATTTACGGTTTAGAGGGTTTAGAGGGTTTTGGGTTTAGTTCGTCCTAATAATTTTGGACGGTATTGTGAAGAATTGTAATGAAATAACTAATTTGGAGAATTAAATTAATAAATAAATTACTAATTTTTCATTTTTTCGTGAGAGAGATGTGGCGGGGGTAAATATATTTTTATAATAAGTCAATTTCACCAAAGTTATAATACTTAAATTTATAATACTTAGCGGAAATGATCCAGTACAAACAAGGTTGTTATTGCTTTATTAAATTTAATTGTGAATATGTGTACAAATAATTTGAAGTTGTTGATTATATGGAATCCTACATAGTAATGGTTTGGATATGAAAAAAGAAAGGAGTACAAATTAGGTTAGAAAAAGCTGTAACATTATAGTACGCAAAAATAATAAGGAAAGATTTGGGTCATCAAATGATGTTTTTCAGCTGGAAGCCTAGGCAATAGTAGGTCAAGAATAGTCACATCAACAAAGGATAATGATAAATATTAAAAGGAAAGATTTGGGTCATGATGTGTCGAATTATATTGTGAATTAATTTCTATTTTCCCTTTTTTTTCCTTTTTAATAATTTCAAGCATGTCTTTCGCTAAATGGTTGTAATTTTTGTTTTTTTTTTTGTTGAAACAACTTGAAATTTGGAGCTTGATTTTACCACTTAAGCTGAAAATACTGTACAGGACGGGGAGATTTAGAATAAATAGGGTTTAAGGGTTTAGTGTTTAGGGTTTTAGGGTTTAGGGTTTAGGGTTTAGATTTTAGGGTTTATGGTTTAGGGTTTAGGGTTTAGGGTTTTAGGGTTTAGGGTTATAGGTTTAGGGTTTAGGGTTTAGGGTTTTTATAGTATAGGGTTTAGGGTTTAGGGTTTTAGGGTTTAGGGTTTAGGGTTTAGGGTTATATGGTTTAGGGGTTTAGGGTGGGTAGTATAGGGTTTAGGTTTAAGGGTTTACGGTTTAGGGTTTAGGTTTTAGGGTTTAGGGTTTATATAGTTTGTTTAGGGTTTAGGGTTTAAGGTTTAGGGTTTTAGGATTTAGGGTTTAAGGTTTAGGGTTTTAGGGTTTAGGGATTAGGGTTATATGGTTTTAGGGTTTAGGGTTTAGGGTTTGTGGTTTTAGGGTTTGGGGTTGTCTTCGATTCATTATGTATAGCGGTATTTGTCTTCGATTCATCTCGATCTTGAAGTTGTTTTCAAAATTGTTGATCGATTTGGTGTGGTTTTAAATATGTCTTTATAATACCGATCATGATCTTGTTTGATTTCGAGTTCTGTTCATTTAGAGCCTTTTTGTTAAAAACTGTTGTCCAAACTTGTTTAAGAGTAGTTCTAATTGTAATTAGATTAATTGTAATTCGATTACTAATCACTTGTTCAAGAGTAGTTGATAATGTAAAATATGTAACATATTAGAGTTGAAGCTATGAAGTCTAAATTTGCTTAGAGTTGAAGCTAATATTAGACACCAGGCCAAAATGGTAACAATAGGGTTGAATTGGGTAAGAATAGGGTATTATTCGGTCTAGATCTTGTGACCTTCAGCTGGACAAGCAAAATTGCGTTGTCACTAGTCACTTCTTAGGTTGCACATAGGGTAAGAGTAGGATTTGATATTTAAGCTTGAGCTGGACGAAATTGGTTAAGTTTGTCACGTTATTAGGGAAAAGAGGTTGCAATAGGTTCCTTAAATTGTGAAAAGTCACATCTGTAGTGGAATAAGGTTGGACAAGTTGTGTTGGTTGCACTACTTCCCAATGTTAAAATCTTCCCGCTCAAAAATCTTCCCACTCAAGTTGTGTTGCTTGCACTACTTCCCAACGTAAAAATCTTCCCGCTCAAAATTTTCTTTTACATGTATTTCATTATTTGAGGATTATGCAATTTCTATGTCAAATAAGGACTACTACGATAAATAACCCTAGCCTAAATTCCATCTTTTAACACAAGAACTTTAAATTTTTTTAAGACAATTGTACGTATAATGTAAAAGTCCATTTCTTATTTTGTGGCTATAAGTTGTTTAGGGATTTAATATATATCGGATTTTGGCTCCATTTTTAATATCGTGGACTTTATAATATATTTTAGTTGGAAAACTTGTTTACTACGTGTATGGATCTTCTTCATTTGTTCCTTAACATTTATAAGTTCAATTTTTAAAATTGGTCTATTCGAGTCAGTATTTTGTTGATGACAATAATATATAGATAACTACTACGTATTTTATTGAACACTAACTATTAACTCTGAAAAATACTAACCGTTTGGAGGGCTTTTTTCCCTCCTAATTGTTTTCATGTTATACACGTGGAAGCTTTTCATTGCTCCAAAATTTCTATAAATATAAAGTTTGGTATCTTACTCAATCATAGTCACTTGTACCTGTCACTTAATTCACAATGGCTTCGAAAATATCAGTGAAGGTTCTCCCAAAGAAAACAAACTCCACACTGATTGCATTGTTCCCAAACCAAACCCTCCAAAAAAACGACGAAGAAGTAGGGGTTTTAAAAGGCCTCGAAACCTTATGGTTTCCACTCTTAATCGAAATGCCACTAATTGCCTTATGATCCAACTTCAGAGGAGCGCTAGTGGTGAAACAGAAGATGAAACAAAGGAGGTTGGTGTTTCTGGAAAAGTCAAACGTCAGATGGCTAAGGTCTTGGCTTTATCCAGGTTGCGACAGGCGATCAAGGACAAGCATGAGCCTGATTTTGGAGGGTCTCCTGTGATGGATGGGGATGTCATGCACAGGCCGGTGGAGGGTATCAATAACACCCACACCATAGTTGTTAAGAGCAATCAACGTCATAACAACGGAGTTGTTTATGAACTGCGAGATAAAGACACATTCGAGGCAATCTACGCAGATTACTCATCCCGTTTGGATCTTTCAGCTAGGGATATCATCTTGAAGAAATTTAGCATCCCTATTTTACCTACACAGACTGCTGTTGCTGCAAGGATCCAAACTGGTGACATAATTGGAGTGACCAGTGCGGTACGTATTCCAAATTTCGACGTATCTATGTTATTCTTTAAAATGTGTGACATATATTCAACTAACTATGTGTATGAACTTATTTGTAGGTTCCAGGGAATAATATGAACACACATATGAAGTTGTTCTACATCCGGAACACATGCACACCTCCCCACGAGCTTCGGGTTTATGGCAAACTCACGTCGAGGCTCAAGAATCTGTTTGAAAAATGGGCGGCTGAAATTCACAAGAATCCAAGATGCATCAAGTTGATGCATCAAGATAGGAAGCTATCTAAACGGCAAACCATTTCCGAAGCCCAAATCAAGAATTTCGACTATGTTATTGCTTTTCCAGAAAGTTAAATGATTTGCTAAATCTTTTGTTAAAATCATGTCCTTTAAGTAGTATTATGGTATTTTGTTTATGAACTTATTTGGGCCCATTTGTTCGCTTAAGGCCCAATTTTAGTATTAGTGTGTTTGGCCCTTTTGGATGTGTTGGGTCAATATTTTTAGGAGTAGTATGTTACTGAGTACTATAAACTTTGTTTAGTCATTTTGTTAATTTAGAGTTTAATTAGTGTGTTTATCAAGGCATTTTATTTCTGTTTATTTCAAAAAATTTATTTGTTGTTTGTTAATAGAAAGTTTAATTTAAAAGGTTATTCTATTACAAAATTGGATAAAATTTTAGGAATAAGAGGATAATGGACATGGTAAAATGAGCACAAGATACTAGTAGATCATACGATTAAAATAGTGGTGGATCAGTAGGACCAACTTCCACATATCACCATGTTTCCTTGCTTTACTTGATTTACTCATTACACAAATACACAACACGGCCCACCTAGATGTGTGAAATTTGTCTTATGGAAGCTTAAAGCTTCATAAAGAATACTATCACAAATTCTCAATCCCCATAAAACAGAAACTAGCATTAACAACAGTATAAGACACATATGACAACTGCAAAGGACCATGTCCTAATATGAACCATGATCCATTGAGGGATGATCTAGATAATAGATTAAGTTATATCCAAATATTACATAAATAAACCATCTTGTTTACTTGAAAACGTCAGGTGAATGTGATGTGTAAAACTGGGGGTTCCATACCTTCCAAGTTAACCGAAATCTTTTCACCAAGTTCAACCCCTTCACCCGCCATCATTTATGGTACTCCTTTTTTTTACCGTGCAGGTTAAAATCTTGTTGTTTGTGTCAAACTTGATGCGCATTACTCCTTTCCACCACTTATTGACATACATTTCAACTGGAGTTCCGTCTTTAAGACCATGGAAATGTGCACGGGCGAAAACTACTGGAATGTTCTGATTTAAAATAAACATCAAAATTAGACTGCATAGGATACACACTAACAAATAATAGCAAACTATGAGATAACATATGAAATTCGAATAATAACAATTCACCATTGGAGTTAAGATTGGACAAACTTACGATTCCAGGTTTGTCAAAGTAACCCTTGGAGAATGTGAACTCGAATGTGGGTATTTTAAATAAAATCTCACTTGGCACATACTCCATCGAGTCCACGTCACTTATTGAACCATCATTCTCTATGAGTACATGGGGGTCCACTATTGTAATTTCTTTATCAGCACGCCAAATCCTAACCTGATAAAGCATTAAATCGTCGTCCTCTAGCAATAACTGGATGCGGTCTTCCATTTGTATACTGTTTGAGGATACAAACTCCCCCCATCCTTCACCTAAATAGGTTTTGAACTTCCCTGGACCCGTAAAAACATGTCTAAATCGGGTAGGATACTGTTTGTTCTCAGTACCGCGATGGAGACGTAAAACCCCATCTGTGACACCTCTCTTCACCCATAATTCTTGCACCTCCTTTGTCATACGACTTGGAATCCGCTGTTAGCGTTAAAGATTAGTACTATATCAAATACAAATTGTACAAAAAATAAAACGAAGTTGTATCTTCACTCACCACATATTCAAGCTTCCGAGGAGTATCAAGTTTGAATTCAAATCGCCAAAGTGACATCGTTTTCTGTAACCCTGTTAATGTGATTAAAATTATAAACAATACATACAAATTAAACCATTAATTGATATTGTATGTGGAATAGCTCAACATGCTAGGACAAAGCCATACAAACATTACAAGTAGTATGTAGTTCAATTCCCAAAATGGGACAACATTCCCCAACATATAGTTGCTATATTTGTCAACAACAAAGGTACTCAATTAATACTTTACTGAATTAAGAACAAGATTTATCCTCAACATTTCTTTGGCAGATTCACAGCAATAAACTCCAAACTAGAAGCCTCCAAAGTCATTCTTAAACAAGCAACCAAGCACCAACAAATACAGGACAACACAAACACAAATATTTCATTACCTAAATTGTTCTATATCAATTAAACATAAAACATGAGCAATTTTAAACCCGATTTAAATACAGGGCATACATAACACACTACGTTACTGAGCGAAATGACATAATTCGACAATCAATTACCACTTAAAAGCAAAGGTAATCATGCATGTGATCTAGAAGATTTGAAAAACATATGAAATCGACCCTGAATATCAAAAACACACTCAAAAATTAAATTGAAAATCAAATTTGAAGTCCGAATTTGTTATTCATACCTTGTTGGAAGTGAAAAAATGTCGTATCAGCTTTGTCGCCGCCGGGGAAGGGGAACTAGTGGCTGATTTAATTAAATTGGGTAAAGTAAAGGTGGATTTAGGGTTTTACTATGAAGTGATGATAAAATGTTTAAAAAATTAACCATGTAAACTCGTAAATTAGGTTGCTTTATTGCTCCCTGACGTGGTTGTCGATGTTTTTTTAAATAATTGTCCCTAAAATTAAAATTGGTTTTTAGTAATTGATTTTTTTGGAATTAATTGATTACGGATTGATGACATGACTTTAAGTAAGGAAATTTTTACCTTAAATTATGCAATTATGAGTTGGGCTTTTCTAATGAAAAATCAAAAAAATTAAATAAGGTAAACTAATTATGAAGCATGTTGTACTTTAATGTTAGATTCCAAATAAGTTTGTTTTCTTATTTTATGTGATTGATTCCATGTGGGACTAATATTATGAAACGGAGGGAGTATTTTTTTAGGTTAATAATGTTAGTGTAGTTGTATTAGAGCTGTTAAAAGGTGACCCGATACACGAAAGACCGACCCTAAACCGACACTTACCCTAACCGTATGAACATACTCGAAAATAATGGTGAAATAAACCCGACCTAAAACCAACCCAAGTTAACCCGAGTCTTTGAGACCCGAACCCGATCATGACTCAACATGGAAAAGGACTCGAACCGAATGTGACTCGTAAATTATTGACCCAAACCCGAATTAACCTATCAACACCCGAATTAACCTAGGCATGTTACAAACCAGAAATCAGAAATCAACCCGACTTGAATTTAAACTTGACCTATTACAAACCCGTAACAACCCGAATGTAACCCGTCCTGTTTTTCAACCGATCCGAATGTTACCCGACCTAAACCAGACCCAAACTCGATAAGATGTATGACCCGACGTGACCCGACTCAACCATTACCCAACCTGAACCCAACCCCACCAGACCCCAGTTGACCCGACCCACACTAACCCGTCTCAAAACCTGATCCGACCCGAAATACTGATCCTAACCTGACCTATACATCGACCCGTCTAAACCCGAAAAAATGATGCACCGAACCCGATCTAACCCAATCTAAAACCAACCCTAGACCCGAGTATTTGAGACCCCAAACCGAACCTTACCTAGACACAACCCGATCCGAATGTAACCCGTAAATTATTGACCTTAACCGAACTCGACCCGGACTGAAATTTACCCAAACCGTGTTGACCTGACCCGAGATGACCCGACTCACACTATCCCGATTCAAATTCGACCCGTTTACCCGAATTGTCGGCTCTAGTTACTATGTACATTATTCTAAAGTTATTTGTGTACTCATTAATGGGTAGGGATTATAAAGGGGTAAGAAGGTAAATAAACAATTTGGAGGGCTAAAAGGTCTGTGCACTATTCATATAACGTCACACTTTTTATAAGGTTGGGATTCAAAGAATTTTTTAAGTCTGCTATTAAAGTAATTTCTAAAAATAATAATTATGAAGTTGATTAAATATGAATCTTTATTGTATTCAAATGAAAGGTTATGTCATTTTCGTGTCGGGTCAACATCCGGTATTGGGTCAACTTCAGGTCGGGTTTTTCTTTGTGTTGACTCAACTATGTGTCGGGTCATATCGGGTCTAGTCGTTCATGGTTGGGTAATTTCGGGTTTCAGGTCAACGTCGGGTCAAATCCACGTCGGGTCGAATATGTATCAGATCGGGTTATAGAGGGTGTAGACCCAGGGTTGACCAAGTCCATTTGTAGTTGCTCGTGAGCTACTCAACTCAAGTAGCACCCCTTTAGCTAACTCGTGAAATAGGTCAAAAGGCATATCCATTCTCGGATTGTGAGTAACATATAAAAAAAAACATTCTTTCTAAAAGGCGTTTTTTGGAAGGTATAGTACTTATGTTTGTATCTATATTATGCATTCAATAAATTGCAACCTTGATGTAATTTGACCATTTCAGGGCCCACTATTACTTTTTTTTAACTTTTCCTTTAACACGTGAAGTGGTGATGTAAGTAGTTCATCACTGTCCTTTCTTCCTTTTTCTTACACTTCCTCTGTCTTTTCCCTGTCTTTGTCTAGATTGTTCCTTTCCCTTTCTTCTTCAATTTACTTTCTTTCAACTCTAAAAAATGGTAATTGGTAGCAAAAGTGCAGCAAAAAAACAGCCTTTCAACCCAGCCACATGGAAACCTAACCCCAAAAAACCACTTGACGAAAACTTATCCAGTTTTAATGAATATTTCAAAGACATACTCAAAGATATGAAATCATACCGTGAGTACCTTCGAGATGAGAGATCCAAAAAACCAGAGTATACACTTGGAGAATCATCCAGAAAGCGGAAGCGGGATGTCAATGCTGGTACTGACAATCCAATTGTCATACCATCTGACGCAGAAGAAGATGATGAAGAGAAACAGGAAGAAGGCGAAAAGGACGATGAAGCTGATGGTGGAAGCAAGGGAATTGAGGGCAACGATGCTGACGCAGAGGGGTATGATGATGAAGGGTCTGACATTAAGGAGAAGGAAGGTTCTGAAGAGCCTGAAACAGACGAAGATGCTGAATACTCCGATGAAGAGAAGGATGAAGAATTTGAGGAATCTTTTGAAGAAGACAGGGGATCAGAGAATGACCAAAATCCTGTAGATTTTCTGGATCAAGAAGACGCAGAGGGGTATGATGAGGAAGGCTATTAGGATGCAGATGGGTTTCATGAATGGAACTACGACGACGACAATTGGTATGACTCTGAACCTTACTCTTCTGATAACTACTGTGATGATGACAGCGACGACAGTAGTATGTATCATCGCAGATCTCCTGATCATTGAAGGTAATTATCTGGGGTTGTGTTTGGATTGCTATTGTTTTTGGGGTTTGTGGCCTTGGCGTAATTAGTTTAGCTATGAATCTGGGTAATATGTTTTGGATAGATTATCTAATTCTGGGTTGTTATTATGAAAATACTTATCTAACTTGATGCATGTAATTATCTATGAAGTCAGGATGTTTTTGCTTTTGAACTCGTGCTATGGAATGTACAGGTTATCTATGTATGATTCTCCTGATGGTTGAATTGTTTTCAAGTTATAAATTATGCAATTTGGTACTTTATCTACTTGCACTAGATAATTCATTTTCTTTGAAATTAATTTTGAGTTCAATTTTTTATAATTTTGATAATTTTGTTAATTGATATAGTTACAGAATGCTGTGGGGATATTTTGAGATTGGAAAATTATAGTGTCTAAAATTGAAATTAAAGTGTCTTAAATTGGATGGAAAAAATAATAGAAGAAAGCTGTAGAAGGGTGTTACAAGGGATAAATTGGGGATTAATAAAAGTGTCTTCAATGAAGGTAGTCTTATTGAAATCAATGGAAATGCAAAGTACATACACAATAAGTTACAAAGACCAATAAGTTACAAAGATAACAATAATTTAAGGGGTGTTACAAGGGATTAATTAGGGAAGCAATAATGTTAGGGGGTGACATGCAAAATGACCTTGACATACATAAAATGATAAACTATTTGAAACTTGTGTATAATTTAATAACTTGACAAATGCTACTTGCATATGGTGGTATTAGTATTGAGATATTGTATGGTTGATAATAGTTAATTAGAAACATTGTGTGAATTTTTATTCTATTTAACAAGATATAAAATTTTAAAAAGTGTGGTAATATTTTTACTTTTACAATTCTAATTAAAATATTCCTATTAAAATAATCTTTTAAATATTCCTATTTCTAATATTTACTATTGTAATTACTGTAAGTTAGACCCTTAAAAGCTACTCCATCCGTTTCAATTTGTTAGTCCCATATACTATTTTGGGCGTTTCAAAAAGATATACCCATATTGAATGTATTCCACTTTTAACTTAGTTTTTATTTCCTATTTTATTCATATTAAATTCTGATTGTTTAGATTAATTGATTTTGAATTAATGACATGACTCTAAGTAAGGAAATTACTCCCTTGATTTATGCAAACATGACTAAAACTTTCCTTAAAAATAAAAAAAAATTAAATAAGGCAAAACTATTTATGAATTTTTTTTAATTTAATGTTAGATTCCAAATATTATCCTTTACTTATTTTATGTGATTGATTCCATATGGGACTATCATATTGAAACGGAGGGAGTAATTTATTTCACTTTATTAGTCAATACATTAATTATGGGATTGCACATTAAATGAATCAGTTTTACTTATAAATTGGGAAGCAATAATGTTAGGGGGTGACATGCAAAATTACCTTCACATACACAAAAGGATAAACTATTTGAAACTTGTGTATAATTTAATAACTTGACAAATGCTACTTGCATATGGTGGTATTAGTATTGAGATATTGTATGGTTGATAATAGTTAATTAGCAACATTGTGTATTTTTATTCTATTTAACAAGATGTAAAATTCTAAAAAGTGTGGTAATATTTTTATTTTTACAATACTAATTAAAATATTCCTATTAAAATAATCTTTTAAATATTCCTCCGTAATTACTGTAAGTTAGACCCTTAAAAGCTAATTTATTTCACTTTATTAGTCAATACATTAATTATGGGATTGCACATTAAATGAATCAGTTTTACTTATAAATTAACGTAATATGATATATTTCACTCTTGCTTATCGAAAGGCGTAAGTCATTTGAATGAAATACGTAGTCTGGGGTAGCAAAATTTTGAAGATACTGAACCAGTTAGTAATCATTGTAATCATCGGGTCACGAGCCAAAACTGTACATATAAATACAAGTGTGAAACGTTATAAATGAAAGTCATAATCCTAAACCGAAACCATATCTAAATCAAAGTCAGGTCGAGAATTTGGACCAAAAGTCATTACCGGCTTAAATTTTGACAGGTTTTCCGCTTTACACCTACCTAATACGTGATTATAAACCTCAGTTTACTAAATTATGAAATTATTCTCAAAATAATTATATTCATTTTAATTTTATCAAAAGGAAAAAAATTATACTCCGTATTAATCATTTTAGTCGTAGAAAGGGGAGTGATGCCAAAATTAAAAAATCATAAAAACTAGAAATTTATTGTAATGTTTACTTTAAAAGCCCAAAAATAAGAAATCAAAAAAACTAGATATTTGATGTACTAGCCCTGTCATAGTGATGCGCCGCCAGTGGTAAGAAGATTGCATGTCTTCTTTGGGGTAGGCAATGCATTTAATGATATTCTCCAATTTTCCATAATGTA